ATGAGAGTTTCAATGCCATCCTTTCAACCCTTTCTCCTGCCACTTCCCTCTGCCACCTTCCCCATTTTTTTCCCATCCATGCCAAGCGTATTTCTCCATGAAGTCTCAGCGTGTCGTGCCAGCCTGGCGTGAGGAGTGTCCCCAGGGCAGGGTGCTGCTGCTCGGGGTGGGTCTGGCACCAGTCAGGGAAGCCAGAGTTCTCCTTTGGGAGCAAAGCCTGCAGCGTGGGGGAGCTGCATCCCTTGGAGAGCACAGGCTTGGTCCTCATCTCCACAGAGTGACACCGAGTCCATCTCCTGCCTCCACGGGAGGACGTGGGACGGCGAGTGGCTCCTCTAGCAGCTCCCTCCCGTGCACAAGAAGATCCCCACGGCCGTGCCCAGCAGGGCAAAGGTGCCCAGGACCAGCCCCACCACCAGCGGGGCGTGCGAGCGGCCGCTCCGTTCTCCTGCGAGAAGAGACCGAGGTGACAACCCAGGTGACATTCCCCACACCACTGCCACCCCCAGAGCCCCGACACGGACCCGTCCAGGCGCTCTGAGCCCTCAGGATGCCCACGCAGGTGGTGTCGAGGAAATGCTGGAGGTGCCGGGGTGCCCAGGACCAGCCCCACCACCAGCGGGGCGTGCGAGCGGCCGCTCCGTTCTCCTGCGAGAAGAGACCGAGGTGACAACCCAGGTGACATTCCCCACACCACTGCCACCCCCAGAGCCCCGACACGGACCCGTCCAGGCGCTCTGAGCCCTCAGGATGCCCACGCAGGTGGTGTCGAGGAAATGCTGGAGGTGCCGGGTGGTCTCGGGGTATTTCATCAGCTCCTTCTCAGCGAAGGCGGCCACCTCGTGGGCGCGGGGCCAGCGCCGCTCCCAGGTGGCGTTGGGGACGTGGAAGCTGAGGAAGGACGTCCCGTTGAGGGTCATCTCGTAGAAGCTGTGAGCCGAGCCGTCGGGGTAGAGGCGGCAGCCTAGGTGGCAGCGCAGGCTCTGCGTGTCTGAGGGGACAGAGGGACCCGGCGGGGTCGGGGTCGGCACCAAACCCTGCACCGAGTTGGCGAGGTCTCAAGCCTTGACCCACCCCCGCAGCCCAACCGCGGCACGCCAGGGACCCGGGGGTGAGAAAGTGCTCCCCGAGGGCTGGGGTGAGAAACGCAGAGCTGGGGTAAAGCTGCAGAGAAGAGAGAAAACCGAGGTAAAACCTGGAGAGAAAACCTGGAGAGGAGAGAAAACCTGAGCAGGAGGGTCAGAGGTAACATGCGCTTGCCAGGCAGTCAGTGGGGTTTGGGGGTGCAGGCAAGGAGAAGGCAGCGTGCAGATGGGGTGCACGCAGGGTGCCTGCACTTTACTGTCCCCCCCCAGGCTGCAACCCCCATCTCTTTTCCCAGGGAACAGCAGGAGAGTGAGCATCACCCTGTTCCCAGGGTGGGCTCCAGGCGAGATGCTCCTGGCTTCACAGAAGGGCTCTTTTTGCTCAACGGAAGGTTTGGTGCATAGCCACGTCCCCATCCATTCACCCAGCTGTCCAAAAAGAATCATCCCCACGGCCAGGCAGTGCAGGGGGTCTTCCCTTCCCCCTGAGACCTGTCTCCTCACCCAGCCCTGCACCTGC